GAACCGCTGCTGCCGCTTCCTCTCCATTTCAATAAGGTGACATATTTGACACCGACCCAAAGGGTTTCACCTGAGGGACTCAACAGGACACTGCCAAATCCTGCTCATTAGCAAAGAGACCGTCAGAAAGCAAAAGCACAGTCATGAAAAAAAGCCTTCGTATGCTCCCCCCTAGACCAGGCAGAAGTGAAGAAGCATAAAAGTGCATTCTCATCCTGTGCCAAGTCTCCTCCAAAGGCCCGTCTGCTTCTGCACTAGCATTTCAGAGGGGCAAACTGAAAAACACCCTTCCCCCCAAAGCCACCCAAGACTCCTTGGCAGCACAGGGGAAAAAAAAAAATAAATCAAAGAAGTAAAAATCCCACAGAACTAACTCACCCCTAGGTTCGTTTGCATGTGCAGTGGCCTGTAAGTTTAATATTAAATTCTACACAGCAGCCAAAACCTAGAAGAGTTACATATTTTCTACACCCAGCTGCGTGTGATGGAGAATTCAGGTTCCCAAGAGGTAAATAAAGTTCCCATGTTTTCCCCTGAGGATTTCTCTGATGGAAAGAACCTTCCTACAGGCATCTGCTGTCAACAGTTTTTAATTGATCATCATTACCTTGTAATAATAATTCCTGGGAGCAGGAACTCCTAGTTCAAGTACTCGATTATTAAATTAAGAGGCTGCTTTAAAGATGTGAAATGGCTAGGGCTCGGGGGGGCAGGGAAGACATTGCTTCAAGGAGATAGAGGGGAAAAAGATGGGTAGGAGGCATTTTCCCAGGTGTAACTCAACCGCTTCCCGGCTATTGTTTCCCTCCCTGGGAATCTGTGCAAATTGAGCAAGGAGCCATGCAAGCTGCTCAGAGCGCGCCCATTTTCCTTCCCTTCTTCCCTAACAAAAGAGCCCTCCAAAGCCCAGCGTCGGAGGCTGGACATCTGTCGCCGTTTGGGGGGGCCAGCGTGGTCATTGAAAAGAAGCAGTGACCTGTCAGCTTTGATTGATGGCCACAAACCTCCGGGCTCGACCCCTCGTGTGGGAAAAGAAGTCCCGCCAAGGAAAGTCCCCTTTCACATGCTAATTCTGGGCTATAAATACAGCAGCGAAGCAGCAGAGCAGCAAAGAGCCTGTTGGGAGCAACCCGCTACCCAAGTGCCTCCTTCCCATCCCGTTCGCCAGGCGCTGGCAGGCTGGATTACGATGACCGCTGCCGCAGCCACCGCCGGCAGCACCCACAAGCTCACCAGCACCAAGGAGGAGAGGAAGGTAGGTCCCCTCCGCGCTGCTGCACCACCAGCAGCAGCCCCACACGCGGAAGAAACAGGACAATTTTTTTCCCTTTAATTATAAAGATGCTTTCTCTGAATTTAACCCATGTGGGTGTTTTTTCTGCTTCCTTTTTGCTGCCTTAGAAACGTTCCTTTCTGTTTGCTTCATTTGGGTAAATTCTGCTTAAAATGAGTGGAAGCGAGACCTGATACCATCTAAGGGACATCTAAGTGACCGGAGCTGGAGATTCCCTCCATCCGTACCTTGTCCCTGCTGAGCATTGTGTCACCCCACGCTGGCTTCACACAGGGGATGGGGCGCTTTGCCCTTGCTGAACTGCAGCAGAAAAAAAAAAAAGATCAACTGCAATTTTTCCTCCTCCTTTTCTTTTCCCTGCCAGTTAAGGAAACCCCTCATTGAGCGGAAACGAAGGGAAAGGATTAATAACTGCTTGGACCAGCTGAAGGAGACTGTTGTGGGCGCATTTCATCTGGATGTAAGTGCCTATTTTTATGCTGCTTTTTGTCCTTTTGCTGGTGGGGGATTCATTGGGGGGGGTATCTCTCTTTTGAGAAACTGGGCAGACATCCTCGAAATGACGGTGAAGCACCTCCAGAACATCCAGAGCAGCAAGCTGATGGGTGAGTGCCCAGTCCCCCACCCTGCGAGCGTGGGCAGCACCAGGGCAGGAGGGTGCCAGCAGGTTTAATCCACTGGCAGCTTGGCAAAAGCATCTTTCAGACCTGTTGAGGCCTGGGCTTGGCTTTCTCCACTAGATGGGGAGATGGAGCTGGGCACTGGTTAACCCACGGAAGGGTTTTTTTTTTTCCTTCCATTGCTGCTTTCTGCTTTTTGGGTCTAGTTTTGCCCTTGGCAGTGGGCAGCAGGATGCGGGGGCTGCCTGCCAGGGTGGCTTGCACCCTGCATCACCTTCCCCCTGCGCCCTGCAAACGATTCACCTTATAGTAAAGCCCAAGCGGCTTCACCAACGAGCCCCCAGGAGCCCGTGCGCTCGGGAAACCCGGTGAATGCTTTTAAGCAGGAACACACCAGGCAGTCCGTACCCACTCACCAAGTCCCCTTGCCTCCTCTCCAACGCAGCCGACTCCAAAGTGGGTCTGGAAGCCCAGCAGCGGTACAGCACCGGGTACATTCAGTGCATGCATGAAGTGCACAACCTCCTCCTCACCTGCGAGTGGATGGACAAGACCCTTGGGGCACGCCTCTTAAACCACCTGCTGAAATCCCTACCCAGGTCGGGCGAAGACGCCTGCAAAGTGGCCTTAAGGTCTTCGAGCCCATCTCAGCAGCCTCTCTTGACACCAAAAAGCTCCCTGAGCCCTAAGGGGAGCGCTCGGGGCACAAACCCATCACAGGAGCGCTTCTACCCCACAGAGAACAAGCAGGCTTCAAAAAATTCCTTCCAGCTGCCGTCGCTGTCAGTGTTCAGCCAGGCTGAACCTCCCAGACAGGTCCTGCAGCCAAATTTTTCCCATAACAACCCTAGAATGGGGTCATTAGATATGTGGAGACCATGGTAAAGTGTGTTTTAAAATGTTTATCCTAACCTTAGACACTCTTACGTATGTATCTTATAGATATGTTTCTTTAAAACACTTGTGGAGCAAGTCTGTTCCTGTAGGTGTACTAAAGACCAGGGTACTTCAAGCCGAAGTAAACCTACATGTAGCCTGCATTGTAGAAGGCTGCTATTATTTTTTATTTATTTAATACATCTAAATTATTGTATAGAATCCTCTCATGCTCTTTAGTGTATATTAATTATATAGCTTTCTGTCTTATTCTTAAAACAATTAACTTCCTATTAATAAAAATACAAGACAACAAGCAATGACCCTCTCTGGCGTCAAGCTTACCTTTCGGATCTCACATAAGCCACGGAGATCACTTTGATGGATAAAGGGGTAAATAGCCGATCTCTTGTGCTTTTTATTTTATCCCTGTGGAGCTGTAGGAGATTCCGGTTCCCATTCCTGTAAAAATGCTGCAGTGATTAGTAAAAAAGATACTAGAAAAAGAGAGAAAGGGAGAGACTTGGTTTGGACTTTTAGGCTGTTTAGAAATGCTCTCTGGATTGCTCACTCTGGCTGTGCTGTTCTCAGCCACCTGGACATCCTGAAATTACTGTTAAACTAGTGAGCTATGTGTGTATATATATATGTTACATATAGTTATATTTAGGGTTTGGGGTTTTTTTCCGTAACTAAAAGTTCTAAATAAACTTTTGAAAGATGACAACTGATGTTTCTCCCAGCCTTGCCTTGTCTGCTCTGAATAAATGCTACTTGGGGATCTGCTTTTGTTTTCTCCTTTCACAAATGGATTTTCCTGAATGCGGTTGAAAGAGGTGGTTTGGGGTTTGCCCCTGAAGCTTTGTAGAAAAAGTGGTGTGTGACACACACACACACACACATACACACAGAATCACTGGGATCACAGTAACACTTTAAAAGTTGTGAAAGAAACCCGGATTTGGGTTTATCAACCTGGATCAATGCTTTAACTTTTACTTATAGGGGAATCACAGAGATTATCTAAAGGGCAGAAGGTAAAATTCCGTGCAAATTGGACCAAGGAGACTGGGACAAATCTGCTTGGCTTCTTTGCAACATTTGGTCCCAGTTTTTCATCTCAAAGGCAGTTAAAAGTTCCTCACAGTTAAAATAAAAGAGCAAGGAGCTCTTAAACAAACACTGCGCATACTAATTAATGGACCCGAAGTTCAGAGGGGCTCATTATGCAGCGAGATCTATTTGATGATGTGCAGGAGGAGTGAAATCCATCACCTCTGGGTTTAGCATCTTTTTCTGTGAAGCTCTCCCTTTTATCCAGCCCTCTTGAAAAGCCATTAGGAGCAGTGGCATAAGGGTGGTAGAAGAAACAACTGGCCTGCCCATGGCTGCGCGGTGGCACGGCAGGTCTCTTCAGCCAGGGGCTCAGAGGCAGGGAAAGACACAGAATTGTACAGATGTGACCACAACCTCAGTTTCCACTCTCTGCCTGAAAATTAGGGCTTCTCCCTTTACTGGTGGGAACCTCTGGAGTGACCACCAATGCAGAAGATACCTCCAAATCATCCCACTGCAAAAATCCGGATGGGGGTGGGAGCTGGGGGCAGCCCAAGCAAACAGCCGCAGCAAAGCACACAGAATACTCATGGGCTGGGAACCATTCACGCAAAACAAACCACAAAATCCTAGAAGAGGAAAGACATTAAAGACCTTCCCAGTTTATTAGCATGCATATTGCTGAGTTGCAATAAAGTCCCCAGGCCACACAGACTGGCATGGCTGCACCCACCAGACGAGCCCCCATTGCCCAGCGCTGGGGGTGCACACCAGCGGGGCAGATAAGAGGAGCAGGTGGGGCCTGAAGTCTTCATTTACTCCTAGATGGTGTCAGTCATGCATCTCGTGACACTTGTGGCCACCTTATTGTTATGCCGGGAGAGGCTGTGATGAAAATATTTTACTACAGTTTGACAGCATCAACTTAAAAACATGCTATCCCCCTAAAAGCTGTAAATCCCCAGTGACTATAATTATCAGCTATGGTTACCACGCTGAAAAGAGATCAGTGGGAAATATGTATTTCTCACCATCTCTCCTTGTTTACTTTGTGCATTTGAAAATACTTTGTGGTTAGTGAGTTTTACTATTTCCTGTTTCTAATCAGTAAGGCTTTTTTCTGTTGTGGGTGTGGAGGCAAGGGTCGCATAGCAGCTGGCGAGAGAGTCTTAAAAATAGAAAAGTGAGTCTGCAATACTTGGTCAACAATCTCCAGGAACAGTTTTAGTACGAGACACTCATTTTTCATTGCCTTCATTTCAAACCGATGGCGACCTTTTATACAATCTCCCTGTCACGTACCCAGCTAATGCTGCGGGACTCTGTTGCGAGTCACTAGTTTTCAGTAAAGAAAACATTTCTTCAGAAAGGCAGAAGATTACTCACAGTACTTCATATACACAAATTCCAGCTATTGCTTGGTGTTTGACAAAGGAACTCTGCATTTACTTCAAACCCATCAGGTTTTTACTAAAACCAGGACTGTACAAGAGCAATAATACTTTGCTCTTCAATATAGGCACCTCTCCACTGACAACCATAAAACGAATTGCCAGCTACTACCATCTTCTCCCCAGGAAAAAGGAGGCATAGAGAAGCTCTCCCAGCCAGCTGGCTAATGCAGGGTCGACAGCACTGTCCTCGTAAGTCGGTGTTTGAAGCTGCCCCATCGCGCCCACTGTGGGCGCAGGAGCAGGGTCCATGCAGGTGCTCTCTGCACATCTGCAGCAGGCGCCAGCAGCTGCTTCTCTTGGCTGCCGGCTGTGCCACAGCGCAGCCCAGGGCTCGGTCCCCCCGCACCCAGGTGAGGCACCTCCAGGACTGCACCGCTGTTCCCACCTGGGACTTCATGCCCAAGGCACTAGGGGTTTGGAGTTCACCTCATATGCAGACTGGAAACGGCCAGGACAAGCACCCAGACCAGATTCCTCGGCATGGGCATGGCCAGACAGACCTGTTTGCTAGAAGCGGTCACAAGATGCATCACATCTCGCCCAGCACACGCAAGGCTGGGACAGCCTCGTGCATATCCATCGGGGCTTTGTCCCCTGCCAAAGTGCTGTTCTAGCTGCATATTTTGAGTGGAGCATTGAAAAGATGAGGCTGGTTGCTACGTACACAGGGATGTGGGGAAGGCTGGACCTGAGGCTCAGGACCCCCACATGCCTTTAATACAAAGAAATTACAGATTTATATAATAGCATAAAGCCCAAGTGGACAAAATACCCACATGCATAGCAGTTCCCTTTATATAAACTGCACTCCCAGATCAGCTCTCATGGAAACCACCAGGAAAACTCCCACTTACTTCTCAAAAAACAGGACCAAATCCTTTCCCATGAGGAACGTACAGAGGCTCACGAGTACATAAGTGAACTTATGGCCCTGCCATGCTGTCTTCTCTGAGACACATACAACCCTTGGGGCCTCCAAGCATCCCTGCCCTTTCCCTTGCTCCTCTTCCCACTTTGAGGGCACTGGAGCAATCTCTTTCAGACCCACACAGTCCCAGCCACCCACAGAAACCAGGCCAAAATACTTTAGAGATATAGAAACAGTGTTGAGACCCTGCGAATCATTACCTGAGAGGGCTGAGCATGCTGCTTAAAAAGAGAACATGAGCCAAATTTTCAGCTGACGTCTTCATTGAGTGCTCACATTGGCAAAGAGGAGACTCCAGGCTGCTGGTGTGAGCTCTTCAGGAGGCGCAGAGGGACTCCTAATCCTCCACACTCACAAGCAAGCAACCTTGCAAAACCCTACGCAACAGCAGTTCTGGGCAAAATGTTTTCAAACTGATTTGAACCACGCTGCTGTGGCTGCAAGTGCTTGTAGCTCACTAGCAGCGTGCTCCTCTTGAGAGGGAAGTGAAAACAAACCCACCGGCAGCAGAACACCCAAGACTTCACTTTCCCTTTATATATGCCATTATCTCACAGCTTCCAGCGTATACATTCTTGTCTTAACAGGGGCATGCTCATATTTCATCTCATGAAAAGTAATGTTGTGTTGAGAACCTAACCCAATGTCTGTCACATTTTTCAGAGCTTTCACATACTCATGAATAACGCAGTAGAAGCTGAAGCCAGCCCTGGATCTGATCTGCACTGCTGAGATGTTTCATTGATAAATTGCAGCCCTGGTGAGAACATGGCTTGCTGCCCGAGGCATCACCGCAGACCTACCAGAGCTTGGGAACTCACTCAGCTTTTGAGACTCTCCTATGGTCCCTGCATTAGGTACCACAAATCCTTTATCACACATTTGGGGTTAAAAAGTGTGTTAGAGCATTTTCATCAAGTTTCCTATGGCTAACACCACAAGCAAACGGACTTCTTCAGTCGATCCCACATCTGCTGCCACAGAGAGATCTGGTCCTCTAGAAATGGCTCAAAGGGGCTCTTCTTTGGGGCTGGAGGACTGTCCCTTCTGCTCTGCCAAACAGCAAATGCCCTAAAGGAGAGCTGGGAAAGATGCCTCCTCTCCAGGGTCTCCTTCCCGAGGAGGCCAGAGGAAACAGCAGGGCAGAAGCTTCATGGCTGTGGGAAAGCCGCTCAGGAGGGAACAGCTTTGCTGGGATAAGAGGAAGGATGGAGAAACCACTGCCGAGCTATCCCTTCCTTCACTGGGAGCTTCCTACAATCCTCTCATCCTTGAGGGTACCCACACAGCAGAAGTCTGCTGTAGGATGGCTTCTCATTCCAACTGGCCTAATGATGCAACCTTGTTTTAAACCCACAGCCCGCCGCCATGAAGCTTTCTCTGCATAACAGGCCTAGATAGTTCAGCTGTAAATCTGTTTGCAGAGAGGAGGAACCCAGTGGTCAGTTTTGCCACTCCATCGGAAATGCTGTCCTGTGCTGTAAAGAGACGGCTTACTGCCTTTCATAGCCAACTAATGAAGCGCTCGCCTCTTCACTTTTATCTTCTATTGATATGGCAGCTCTTGCATG